TGCGCTCGCGTCGCAGATCGTTTTCTCGTCATCGTGGGCGTGAGGGCGAGGGCGGGGCCGTCGCCGTGGCTTTCGGGGCCCGCTGTGGCAGGTCAGCGCAGACGCCCCAGGTTGTTGTGCTCCCGAGTCGTCTGTGTGACATCATTGAGGCCCTGTGCAGCTTCGTCCCAGACGTCATTTGACCAGCTTCTGTTCCCGTGCAGCATCAGCGATATCGCGCGCTGCTCGAGTCGGCCGCAGTCCGCGCGCCGGCTGGGCGCCCGACTCCCGCGCCGAGGGGGGCCCTCCCACCGAGATCCGCGAGGGTGGCCGCTGGGTGGGCGACTCGAGCCTCAGCATCTACCTCGGCGCGCAGCCAGCAAGGGCAGTGCCGGCCCTGCACTGGGCTGCAGACGACTGGAGACGGTGCGCGCGACCAGAGGTGCTCGGGGCACCTCGCCGTCATCGATGGCACCTGTCGTGGGCGGCGCGTTTGTGGGCGGCGTCTACGCGCCCCCTCGGCCAGATCATTTTCGCGTGGGTCGGCGGGGCCCTCGCCTGTGCCTCGCCAGCCCCTTCGAAGTCGAAGTCGCCGGCCTTGAGCCCGGCGTCCTTGCCGGCGACTCCCTGGCCCTCTTCGACGCGCGTGGCAGAACGGGCACCTCCTGGATCGTGGGCGATGGTGGGCTCGCCAAGCGCGGGCCTGTCGCCCCCCGCCTCCTGGGCTAGCATTGCGCCGGAGGGGGGGCGACGCCGTTCGCGGAGTGCGCGGGGCCGTCGCCCCTGCCAGGTCTCCAGACGGGCGCTGCGGCCAGACGCCCGTGGGCGCCGGTTCGGCGCAAGCGGCTGGGCAGCCGGGGGCGCGCGGGGCGCGCTTGGCGGCTCGCCCGGGGCGGGTCGGCGCGGTGATCGGCCTGTCGGAGGACCTCGCAGACGCGGGCGGCGCATTCGCCAGGGCCGCTTCTAATGTCGCCGTGCCGATCGCCGACGCGGCAGTTGCAGTGGACCGGGGCTCGATGGTAGCCCGCGAAGAGTCGCGGGAAGGCGTGGGCCTCTTCTCGATGGTCGACGCCGCGGGCGGTCGCTGCGTTATGCTAGTGGGCGCCGCTGAGGCTGACCAGACCGCCCCCCTCCGCGACGCGCGGAAGTAGGTGCCGCCAGGCCATGGTTCGGAGATCTCTTCGGCGTTGCAACAAGTCCGAGCTGGCCTGCCCGCAGTCCCCAGGTCTGACAATTTCCGCGGCCGCCGACCGCTTCGAAGCTTTCGAGTTTGAGGTCCAGATCCTGCAGTCCTACTGCATGGGGATCCGTTTTAAATGGTTGTGCCTTTCGTACAAACCCGTATGGGCCGCTCCTCTCTAGGGGCGGAGTGGGTCCGGCGTCGCCGTCAGCGCGGCGAAATGAGTGGCCGCGCGCGCGCCGGCATCGACCGCGCAGTTGATCTTCGGTGGTTTCGGGCGCCCCTCCACGAGTCCGAGGTGCCCGTCGGCCTCTAGCCCCCCGTGTGGTTTCGCTGGCTTTGTTCCGTCCAGGATGCTGTGCGCTGAGCTCAAATCGCGAGCGGGAATGGATGGCGACGAGACAGGGGTGACTCGCGGTCGATCGCGGACGGACTTGGGAAGACCATGCGTTGGCAGTCGAGGTAGTTATTGTCACATCACAGCCCGCAGTCACTGGGGTCCAGACCCAATCCGCGGGTTCTCATGACAGTGGGGCATGGTGGCTCGCTCGTGCTTGGCAGGAGGTTTGACGAGCCACGCTGGCAAGAGCTGCTCATCCTGCTGCGCAACGCCTGCATCGTCTTTTTGGCGCGTATCGTGCGTTCTCACCAATGCCCGAGGGCTTCGCCCTGTGCGTGCCTCGTTGGGCCCGGGTGAGTGGGCGGGTCTCCCGGAGCAGAAGCATGTGCTGTTGCGTCCCTTGATGTGAAACCGCAGGGGTATGTCTGCCCCTCCCCGTAGTTTTGAGTGCCCCCGTGTGCACTCATGATGTAGCCGTGTCTGCTGTAGTGGAGGAATCTGCTTGCACTTCCCCCGTTGGTTGATAGTCATAGGCGCCCAGGGTCAGCAGGTCCAGCCCCAAGTCGAGATATTTCAGTTCAGATGGGCGCGGTGGCTCGCTCTTGCCAGGCTGGGGAGTTCGACGAAGCACGTTGGCAAAAGTGGCCCATCCTGTTGCGCAAAATCTGTGCGTCGTGTCTTTGGCATGTCGAGCTTGCTCACCAATTCTTAAACTTTGCGCTTTGTGCGCATCCTGCAGGGCCTGGGTGGGTGCACTGGGCCCCCGGATCATCAGCGCGTGCTGCGCCTCCCTTGCGGTCGTCGATGGTGATGGTGATGCTGATGCTGCTCATGGTGGTGATGGCGAGGGGGGCGCCGTCTCAGATCGGCCGCTGGCCTTTGTCACAGTTTTCAGCTCGGCGCGTTGGACTTCGTTTTGGCCGCGCTTCAGGTCCAGGCGCGTACTGTGAGCTCAGGACACAGGACCATCATTGACGCCTTGGAGTGCGCTGGCAGCTACGACCAACTCGACCTCGGGTCGCTGGTGTTTGCTGAGCTCCTCTGCCTGCGGGCGCAGGCCATCGTGGGCGCGTGTGAGAACGGTCCGAACATGCCCGGCTCAAAGGGCGCGAAGTACTTCTCGGGGCTCGAGAGCTTGTCAGATGCAGCGCCGCCTGACCTGGAGAGCTTCGCAGCTCGCAATGCGAAGTAGGAGACGCAGGTTGAGAAGCAGCGGCAGAAGGCCAAGGAGCTCAGAGGCAAGGCCGAGAGCGGAAAGCCCGATGCCGCAGGAGGTAAAGATGTGATCGAGGCGGCCGTGCCTGGGACCACCAGCGGGCACGGTCCGCAGATGAGACTGGCGGGTCTTGCCGCAAAGAGAATTTCAATCCCGAGAGGATTTTCCCTGCGCCGCTGCTCGAGACAGAGCTGCCAGCCCGTGGAGTTTCGCGCGGTGTCCGCCAGCGTGTTGGTAGGCGGCGCGCGTTGCACAATAAGGCCAACGAGGATTTGCAGGCGTTAAACTGGATGTCAGGCCGTGGTGTCGAAGCGGGAGTATGTCGAGCTCCTGCTGCCGCAGCCCCCGTCCATCGGGAGATTTACGTTCGCATGCTGAAGGCTCTGTCCACAGCTGGCAGGCGCCAGATCGCAGATTTTCCCAGGGGGGAGCCGCCTGCGCGGTTCTCCGCGCCGAGTCCGTGTACGTTCAGGCGCACATGACTGTGGCGTCCTACGAGGAGGGCAAGGTGCCGCTTCCCGATGACGTCCGCGACGCGCGGTGTGCTGACTTGATCGGGGGCACGCGCGCCCGCGACTTGCTCGAGAGGTCCATCGAACGTAATCGGCGGAGTCCCGAGGGGATGAACGAGCTCGACCAGAGCATTGGGGCTGTTAAGCCGTGCGTGGGCCGCCGTTTGGAATCGCCACCTAGGCTCTACAGGAGGTTCGTATGCCAGCTTGATCAGAAGGGAATGATTCGGACGAGAAGCCCGAAGCGCCTCAGATCGTTGTTCTTTGCCAAGACGAAAAGTGGGGGCGCTTCGGATGATCGCAGGTGCGAGACCTGTGAACTGGCTGTTTAAGCAACCACCAGGAGTTCAGCTGTGCACGGCCGAGGGGCGTGGGCGAATCGAGCTCCAGTCGGGGACCAATGACGTGTACCTGGCCCAGGCAGACGTGGCCAACTGCTTCCACAGCTTGAGGATGCGTGAGGAGCTCGCGGAGTTCTTCGAGCTGCCGCCGCTGCCGGCACGGGCGGCTGGTCTGCTGGGGCGCGCGCGGCTGGACGTCGGCTCGGCCGACGAGCTGCGGTGGCCCTGCTGCGTTACTTTCCTCATGGGCTTCAGCTCGAGCCTCGTCGCGGCGCAGCGCGTGCACGAGTGCCGCTCGGCGCGGGGGCCTGGGCTGGAGCTGCAGCCGCCGATGGCGGATCGCCGTGAACCTGCAGTGCTGGGCGCGGAGGCGCCGACAGCGCACTGCGTGTGCGTCGACAACCTGGGCGTGCTGGGCGCGGACCGCAGTCGCGGGGCAGCGGGGTTCGCGGGCGCGTGCGAATCCTTGGAGCAGGCGGGGCTCCCCATGCACGACCGCTTGGAGGGGCCGCTGGCCATGGGCAGCCTGGGCGTCGAGCTCAGCGCCGAGAGGCGCGAGGCGCGGCTCACGGCGGCCCGCTATTGGCGGCTGGATACAGGTTTGCGCTGGCTGCTGGCAAGGCGGAAGGTCTCGACGCGCATGGTGGAGGTCTTCGTGGGCCACTGCACGAGTGTTGGCTTGTTGGTCCGCCAGACTATCTCCGTGTTCCACGCCGTGTATAAGTTCGTCCAGGCGCACCCCGTGGGGCTGTTCTCACTGTGGGCATCGGTGGGGGCCGAGTTCACTGCCTTCCTGGGCCCCATGCCTCTGCTGATCGCTTCCTGGGAGCTTCCCTGGAGAGGGGTTGTCGGTGCCAGCGACGCCAGTGAGGCTGTTTGGGGAAGCTGCTCTACCTGGTGGGGGGCAGAGGCCGCCGCTCTGCACGGACGAGTGCCCGAGAGGTTGAGGTATCGCCTCTCCTCTGCCTCCGCCAGAGTTCATGCTTTGTAGCGGGCGGGCCTGGGAAGCTTCGATGACGTTGGCGCCGACCTGCCCGATGAAGACTTCGAGGAGGTCGCGGACTTCCTAGAGATCCCCAAGAGGCTGCCAGATAAGGACAATGGCGCGTTGCCCTTCGAGGCCGCTGGCGGACGGCGGAGCACATCACTCTGCTGGGGGCCCGTGCGGCTGTGGCGATGTTGCGCAGGGGAGCGCGCGCCAGGCCAGGAGCTGGCGTGCGCAAGCTCTACCTAGGTGACAACCTGGGGATGGTGCTAGCCTTCGAACGGCGCAGGGCACGAGACTTTGCAATGTTCACTCAGGCGAAAAAATGGTGTGCGATCTGTCTTGCAAGAGAGATTCGACCAGCTAGTAGATGGATTTCGTCAGAATGGAACGTCGCTGGTCAACCCTCCAGGGGCTCCAAGGCAGGCCCCCCCCCCCCCCCCCGTCAGCCGCAGCCGCCTGGGCTCGAGCTTCGAGCCGAGGCCCCAGTAGCTTCTTCGGCGGGGCGGCTGGCCGCGGTGGATGGGCAAGAGGGCGCGGCCCAGCGACGTCCAGCAGCAGCAGCAGCCATGCAGCCGTTCGCGCGTGCTGACCGCAGCCGCTGCCGCCGAGCATGCGGGCAACGGGGCCCGCTGCCAGCTGCCGCCGCAGGGTGCTGACCGAGTCCGCGGCCTGCCGCCCGCTGGCCTCCAGGCCGCGCTGCAGGCCGGCGGGGCTTGCAGGGGGCCTCGAGGAGATCGACGGGGGCGAGGCCTTGGTCGATCGCGAGTCGGAGGTGAGCAGCGAGAGCGAGAGCCAGGCGGTGAAACCTGGTCCGAGAAAGACGAGGCGTCTGGAGAAAGGTGCGAACTTGGATCCGAGGAAGGGCATCGCCCGCCTGGATGGGGAAGAGCATGGCGCCCAGGGTCATAGAATACTACAAGCGCCGCGTCGGGATCGCGCTGGACTTTCCTCCGCGGAGGCGGGGGCGTGCCGCCCACAGCGCCGAGTGCGTCGACCAGCTGCCGACTCATCTCATGAACTCGCGGCGCCGCGACGGCGAGCACAACAGCTGCGGCGTCGAGCTGCCGGCGGCGTGGGTGGCCATCATCCCCGAGTACGGCAAGTGCGGCACCCTGCGCCTCCCGAGGAGCGGCCGTGCTCAAAAGGGCTGGAGGCGGCTAGTGCCTGGCCGCGCGCGGGAGCCCTACCCTTTCCTTTCTGTGGCTGGCCTGGTCGCGGCGTTGATCCAGCTGGGCGAACTGGAAGTGGGGTTGTGGGTGCTGGTCGCTTTCGGTTCCACTGGATGCCGTGCGGGTGCCTGAGGGTCCAGCCCGAAGACCTGATTGCGCCCGTCACGGGGGTGTCGGACCATTGGGGCCAGCTGGTGGCGCCAGAGGGCAGGGGGGCGCCGACCAGAGTGAACGCCTTCGACGACAGCCTTCTCTGGGATGCGCCGTGCCTGTTCTTCATGAACTGGGTGTTCAAGGTGCTGCGCCAGAGGCCCCGAGGTCAGCCGTTGTTGGCTCTAGACTACCCGCGCGTGCTGAGGCCCTTCAGAGTCGCGTCGAAGCTGATCGGCGTAGATGCAGTGCCCTACCACATGCGCCACTCGGGTCCGAGGTGGGGACAGGCTGAAGGAGATTCGCACTTTGCAGCAGATCCAGAAGAGAGGACGCTGGGCTACGACAAAAAGCTGGGTGAGATGCGAAAAGCACGGGCGCCTGGCCATGCAGATGGCAGGGCACTCCGAGGCCCGACAAGAGTGGTCCAGAAGTTGCGAGGCACACGTCGGGGTGTTCGATCTAGGGTTGAGGGCCGTCGACTGGTCTTCTTGGATTGGTGTTCGGGCTCTGGTGGTGTCGCCAGGGCTGTGAGACCGGAAGGTTTTAATGCTGTCGAGTTGGATCGAAAGTTTTGGGGGGCCTATGATTTGGCCAGGGCTAAGCATGTGAGAACCATCAAGAAGATGACCCGCGAGGGTGAAGTCCTTGCCGCTTGTTTGGCCCCACCCTGTTCAATTTTTTTTGATCGCCTGCGATCGGATGGTCCGAAACCGTGCCTTGCCGTGGGGCCTGCCTGATGTGCCTGAAGACGAGCAGCGGAAAGTAGATGAAGGCAACCTTTGCCTGCGAGCCACTCTCTAGATAATTCGGTGTTTAAACAAGTTTTCGGTGCCCGGCCCCGGTGCCTGGGGAAACCCGCTTGCCAGTAGAATGTGGTTGACGCCCCAGGCCCAGAACATTCGAGCTTTACCTCTGTCAATGAAGTGGTTTAAGATTTTTGCGTGCTGGGACCCCGTGGAGAAAGAGAACCCGAATACTTTTTGGCAATGTGTGCGTGCCCAGGACTTAGATAAGCACGCGAGAATGAAGTGTACACGTGAACAGGGTTTGTGTGCTCGCACAAGTGCAGCACATTTCCATCTTACGGGGGGGAGGGCGCATGGGAAGAGATGGACGGCCATCACTCAGCCCTACCCCCCGCAGCTGTACCGTCCGTTCGCTAGAATCCGGGCGGAACCCGCACGGACCCGCCGGCAGCCGGCTTGGACCAAGATGGGGTAGCTCTCCGTGTTTCGGATGCCCGAATCTTCGTGCTATGGGTTGTGGTCGAAAGCTTCCTGTGCCTCCTGGGAACCGTTGTGTCCCAGGGGCTCCCGCTGTGTACTGACTGCGTCACCTTCATCTGATATATAATGACCCACTTGACACGCGGCCCCCCCCAGTAGTTGATGTGCGTGCATAGGTTTGAATGGGAAGCCTCGGGTTGATGTTGCAATCGTTTCCGCAACTGTTTTACTCTCAAGTTTCCTCGCGGCCCAATGCCAAGCTTGATGAATGTCATGTCCCGCTCTGAATGCCGCGACGGCTGACACCCGTCGCAAAGATGGAACGCCCGCCAGCGGGCCGCCATTCCGGCGTCGCGTCCTGGGTTGATCTTCTGCCCTTCCATCCCTTGCCTCCTGAGGGGTCGGCGGTGGGCGGAACTTGGTCAAGATGGAACGCCCGCGAGCGGGCCGACAACTTCACCGAGAACGCGCCTGTTGTTTGCCCCTCAGGCCCCTGCGTTGTTTTAGCACCGCCGTGGTTTGGGTTGTGGTCGACAGCTTTCTGTGCCTCCTGGGAGCCGTTGCGTCCCAGGGGCTCTCGCTGTCTGTTGACTGCGTCACTTTCATCTGAGATAGAATGGCCCACTTCAAACGAGGTCCTCCCAGTAATGATGATGCTGATGGTGATGATCGTCATGATGAATTGCTGCTGCTGATGGTTACGAAGTGGAGGAGGAGGAGGAGGAGGAACCCTCCCCCCTCGGTCGTCGATGATGCTGGTTAGGCTGCTGCTAATGACGCTGAGGATTGTGATGGTGGTGGTGATAATGTATACCATGTTGAGTTTGATGATGATGGTGCAGATGATGCTGATGGTGCAGATGATGAGCTGTTCATGATAGTTTCACGAAGAAGAGAAGAACGACGAGGCGGAATTCTCCCCCACTGCGGTCGTCGATCGTGGTGCCTCGCCCGCTGGGCGGGTAGGTGCTGGTGCCCACGCGCGAGCTCGCCGTGCAGGCCGACGCGGCCCTGCTTCGCTGCCGCTCCGCTCTCGCGCCGCTCCCGCGCCAACCAAAAGAGAAACGCCACGGGTGGGTGTGGGGGTCGGTGGTGGTGGTGGTAGTAGCGGTGACGGATGTGGTGTTCATGGTGATGGTGATGGTGGTGGTGGTGGTGGAGATGAAGGGTTTTGGTGGTGGTGGTGGTGATGGTGATCATGCTGGCGGTGTTGATGATGGTCATGGTGATGGTAGTGGCGGTGGTGTTGATGGTGGTGATGCGATGGTGATGGTGATGATGAGGATGGTGATGACGAGAATGGTGACGATGCCGATGATAGCCGTGATGCCGATGGTGATGATGGTCATGATGATGTCGATGATGACGGTGACTACGACGACGATGACCGCGATGACGACGATGATGACTACAGCGGGTGACTACGTGGCGTTGGTGACGGTGCTGACGACGGCGACGGAAATGTGATGATGGCAGTGAAAATCGTCAAGAGGAGGAGCGGGAGGGTGGATAGGAGGGGGGGGCGCCTAGATTCAAGACGGCCTTCTTTTCCCGATTTCGTCATCCGAGGTGGCTGCGTCAGTCCACTGCGGTGGCCTTCACGCGGGCACACTTCTCCCGCGGGATTTTCTTCCAGGTTCCGCGCACGGGCTCGCCCATTGTAGGTTGGTCCTTGCGTGGCTCCACCTGCTCAGCCTTGTGCACTTCTAGGGCGCAATCGCGAGCAGTTTAGCGCGCCACCCCTTCAGGGTTCCCTCCGCAAGTTTGCGCTCACGCTCCGACAGGTCGAGTAGGGGATCGGCAACATAGTTGATTTACCCCAGATTTGATTTGCTCGTCGAAGCTAAAAACATTGCGTATAATCGTTCGTAGATCGACGATCATTCTACGTATGTTTCGTCAGTTCGACGAAATCCATTTGGAGGGTACATCGATTCTGTAGTCGATCCCCTACTCGAACAGGGGCTGGTGGTCTCACGCCCGTGTGCGGCCCAGCCTCGGCCTCCTGCGAGAGCTCCTCCCTGTAGCTTCTGGGTGCCAGAGACGGGGGCACAGCAAACGGGGGCACGGGGAACGCCGATTTCCACGTTTGGCTATGCCCCCGTTTAGGGCGCCCTGGGCGCCGTAGGTGTGGGCATAGTAAACAGGGGCATCTGGGAAAGCCGAAGCCACTGGTTGGCTGCGCTCTTGTTTACGAAGCCCAGAGCCCGACTGCACGGCTCCGTGCGCATCTCGGAACTTCTCCTCGGACTTGGCTTGGAAGCTCCTGTCGTGCACGGCCGCTCGCGCTCCCGAGAGCTCTGTCGCTGAGCCTCTCCTGTGAGGCCCGGCATGGCAGGGCTGCGTCCTCACGGGCCTTATCGTGAGCTCCCTTTTGAAGCGCGCAGCTACGCTCTTCTCAGAAGAGGAAAAAGGTACCCATGTCGCTACCCTTCCTCCGTTTACGCCTTTTTGGGTCTCCTGTGAGGCCCTCGTCGCCACCGCTGGATTCGCCTCGAAATTGTAGTCAGAACGCACCCCGGGAGAAGTCCGGGGAGTAGCAGTATCGGTACTTCTTTGTCTCCCCCTGGACTCCTTTGGGAACGGCTGCGCGACCATGAGCTGTGTGTGTATGTGTCTTGCATTTGGTCTTCTTGCAGTCCTACTTCTCTGAGCAGCTGACCTGGTCGCCGGTTCTCATGCTTCCCGGAGAGGGAGCGCATCCTGGACGTGTAAGAGCACACCTTGGCTGGCGCCGTTGGAGGCGCAGCCTAAGTCCTTCCAGTCAAACGACAATCGTTCGACTTGAAGGACTTGGGCTGCCTAGTGCATGTGGTCGGGCACCAGTGGTGTGTTCGTGGAAGAAAAAATACAGAACTTCCAGTCGAACGACAATCATGGTGACGCCTCGGCGCTCGCATGCATCGGCTGCGCCAGGCGCATCCGCCAAAGAAGTTCAGCTGCTCATTCGTGTCCCCGCGACGGGCACGGCGACGTCCTGCAGCAGGAGGAGGAGGAGGAGGAGGAGGAGGAGGAGGAGGAGGAGGAGGAGGGAGGAGGAGGAGGAGGAGGAGGAGGGAGGAGGAGGGAGCCCCTGCTCCGTGCAGCCATCGCTGTCGGAGCTCTTCTACTCCTTGACGTTGTCCGCCGCCTTGGCCACTGGCAGATATGGAGGGTGAGGCAAGATATCAGTGCGAAGCATGGTCTTACACCCCATCAGAGCACACCTTGGGCCTCACCAGAAACGGCGACGAGAAAACGATCGCAATGTGGACGGAGGGCCACGAGCTTGTATGCGAGAATGCGCTTGGCAAGCTGGCGCCCCCGCTTGGTGGCAGCAGCGTGAACGTCGCTGGGCACGCCGGCGGGGACGTCCCACGCTGCGCGGTTCCACCCATTCAGCAGCAGGGCTTAGCGCTCAGGCTCGGGGAGCTCCAGGGCGAGCTCTGGCAGACGCAGGCCACGACTGTGTCTGACTGCTTCGGTGGCAGGGCACTGCCAGAGGATGTGTCTCGTGGTGGCCCTGGTGCGGCACGCGGCGCAGTCCTGGACCACAGCGCCGTCGACGTGGTGGAGGCGGTCTGGGCTGGGCTCGCCCCGGACGACGCATCGCCAGGCCCAGCTGTGGCCTGGGCCGTTTTCGTAGCCGTCCAGGAGATTTCCTGGAGCACCTTCCCATCGAGGCTGGGTTGTCCTGAGAGCCCCCGCCGCGCCCGCGAGCACCTCGCCCAAGGTGTGGCCGTCGTCGTGCAGGGGGATGTCCGCCCAGCGCATGCCCTGCTCGGGCGCCTTGCCGAGCGAGGTCGAAGTCCGCCGATGCGGAGCTCCGGCGTGCTACCGGACTGCCTGACGACCTCCACCACCGACCAGGGTGCTCATCCGCGGGGCCCCGGGAGAGTCTACCTGTTTGGCTGTCTCGGACGTCCTGTCCTTCTTGCTCTTGCTCACGTCCTTCTTGCTTTACCTCTTCTTCAGGACCTCCGCCCGAGGCACAGGCTGAGGGATGGCTTTGCGAGCTCGCTTGGAAACGCCTGGACTGAGAGTGAGCTCCTCCACCAACGGACTCGCTGTCGTCCGCTGCGACGCGAACGGCAAGTCCTCTGGTGCCACCATGAGGCTATCCCCTCGCCGTTTTTCAAGTCCACTGGACACCCCACCTC